CCTCAGGCCCGGCTGAGTACCAGGGGGGCACGTGGCACAGTCCCTGCCCTAATCAACACTTCCTATCCCGGCCACCTGACCAGGTAAGGCAGGAGCTGGCCTCCCTGGGGGCTGATGACTGTGCCTTCCCTGACTCTGGTCAGTGGGGGGCTCAGGCAAGGCCTGCAGGGAAAACAACCATCGCATTCTGTTCTGCTGTTCAGCTAGGGGGAGCGGGCAGGTTCCCCACAAGCAGCATTTCCAGGTAGAAGCCTTGCAATCAGAGATGGGGACCAGCAGGAAGGAGCTGTGGATCTGAGTCCCAGACACTGAGGGACCCCACCTGAGACCAGGCGTTCAACCTCTCAGGGTCTCCATCTTCCCACCTACACCTGGGGCTAGTGATTCCTCACCTATCAAGAGTCTAACGGGGCTGGTGGTGCAGCTCAGAGGGAGTGCATCATGCATCACAAGTGAGCAAGGCCCTGGGTTCCAGATGAAGCAAGGGACGGAGAGCCCTCACTCCTGCACATCAATGGGGCCTGCTACCTGCTAGGCACTTTACCCCGATGAGCTCAGCAACATCCCCCAACCCCAGCAGCAGCACCTCTATGCTGGCCGCCCTGTATCTCCTTTGCCCTCCTCCTGTCACCCACTGCAGTGGGGGTGCCCGAAGCCCTGCCATCAGCTTGGTCCATCTCTGACTCACCTCTCTGGGCTTGAGTGTGGGCAGCCGTATTTTCCCTCCTGGGATGGTCTGAGGTGGCGGAGGCCCACATCGGCAGAAGCAGGGAGAAGTGAGGCTCAGGAAAAAGAGGCTATCATAGGGCTCGTGGCTCCTGACTAGTGAGTGGCCCCAGGCTGGTACAGGCCCCTGCACACACCACCAGCTCAGGCCTGTGCTCAGCATCTCTCTAGGGGGACTTCTTTGGCCCATCTTAAGCCCTGATGGGCTTCTCCAGGAAAGGTGGCAGCCCTGGCCCAGGACAGGAAAGGCCATTTTCCGAGGACCTTCACTGGGGCGAGCATTGAGCCGAATTCTCACACACTGGCCTCGTCCTCTGGAGTCCTTCAAGAGCTCTAGAAGTGAGACGTTATCACCCTGTTCTGCACCTAGGACACTGAGCCTCATGGAGATGCCCAGGGCTTTACCACTGAGAGGTACGTGGTTCTGGGTAAAACCTAGCACAAAGAAGGTGTCCAAGAATTGGGGTTCCCATCCCCCCTGGTCCCAGGGTCACGGAACCCAGTTCCTTCTGCTATCCCAGCACCCCTCACGCTGAGGATGCTCCCAGGTCCTCCAGAAGGGTGAAGAGGGTGCCATGGAGGGCCAAGGGGAATGGGTACCAGGGAGGCTATGGCCAGTGTGACTTGGCTTTGATCAGATGGGCTCCTCAGGGCTCGCCGGTGCTCAGTGGGCAGCCCTGGAAATGGGCCACCCCAGGGAGGGCTGAGGAGGACAGAAGTCCCACTTGGGATAGTGGAGCGCACCTGGAAACCCAATCTGCCTCGGAGAAGTCAAGAGGGAGGAGACTGAGGGTCCACACAGACTCAGAGCTGCTCCAGGGCTGGGCAAGCATCTCACCTGTCTGTGCCTCAGTTTCCTCACATGCCAACCAGAGAGAGGAAGACCAGCCTAGCAGGAGGCTGGGCAGAGCCCACAGAGGAGGGGGGTGGCTTAAAGTGCTCCACAAACCTGAACCACACCTTCACCTCCCCATCACCGGCCAAGGCCTAGTGGCTCTGGGCTGGGCCCTAGAAACAAGACATACCTGGGGTGACTCCTGATCGGAGGCCCACAGCTGTGTGACCTTAGCCAAGTGATCAACTCTGTGGCCTCAGTTTGCCAAGCTAAGAAATGGAGACAATAGAAGGAAACAGGTCCCAGCGCGACGCCAGCGTCTGGTCCTAGTAGCCCATAAACAGTAGCCAGTGCGGGTTATCATTACCAACGGTATTATCATTGTCCTGTCTCCGCACTGAATGGGACTTCAGCTGTCACCCTGTCCAGCCCGCTGCACGAAGGTGGGAACCTCGGCCCCAAGAGGGGAAGTGACTTGTCCAAGTCACCAGCGGGCAAGTGGACAAGCCGCCGGAGCCCAGCCCTCGCTCCAGGCCCCGGGCCAC